CGTACTGGAGGGCGGCGATGCATAAACCTCCTAAGGTCTGTGCAAAACTGTAAGGAATGAATTTTCTCAATTTCGTTCGGCCTGCTAAACAACATCCCAGAGTAACTGTTGGGTTGATATGTCCGCCTGAAATTTCAAAGTGTAGATTAGAATTTAATTATTTAATAACTTTATAATTTTTACTTGTTAATATCAAAAAATATTTTAATCCTTCTAAACAGTAATTATGCTACGCAATTTCTATCAGCAGGGAAATACTAATTAACCCATAGCTCGGAGAAGAAGGGGTGGATTTTTACTTTTTCCAAGAGTATATGGACATAAGTGAATATACCGAACCCCGACTGGAATTGGAACTCGGTTCTCCGATTAACAATTCCGAGTTTTTATCCATTACACCATCCGCACATCTAAGCTTACAGCACCTCGTATCTCCCAGCGGTCACCCATCTAACTATTGACCAGGCTCGACGTTGCTTAACTTCTGATCGGTATTCCAACGTGATATGGCCGTAAGCAATAGAAATTCTAAGTATGAACGCAGATTATTATTTGAAGAAGTAAGAGGGTACAAATGAAAAGAATTGTTAAAATCAAAAATATTTGAATCAACCTAAACAGTCATTATGTCACGCAATTTCCGCCTGGAAATGGGGACATTGTTTTAGAAGAATTTCAGTCCTTGCACGTTTGTGATTCTCGACGAGTGGCCAAGCCTCTTGGAGGTAGAGGTGTGTTTTTTTTGTTTTTTTTTTATCAAGACGCAATCTCTAGATTGATTGTCAACCAAAACTAAAAAGAATAGCATAGAACTTAAGGTTACATCTAGAAATTTCACCTATAAAATGATGAAGCCTAACTGCCAATCTAGTACTGCGCTTAAATTCGTATTAAAATCCGAATCTCAAAGACACAATCGTTAATTAAGAAATTCCAGCTCGTACAACCATCGACGGTTTCCGAGCTGTTTCATCTACTCAGTCTCACTCGAAATGCTTCGGTCAACCCATGGTATGGTTTTTAGGGACTTCCAACGATGCCACAAGAAGGGATCGCCTCCTCAGTCCGATAGTGTCAATAAATCACCTCCTTGACTAATCGACCATGGTGAGATTCGAAACCGGGTATCATGTTATCAACGCTAATGCTCTAACAACTCAATTATGCGCCCATACAAGCTGAGAAAAATCACTGCGTAAATTCTGAGCCACCGAATGTGTGGGAACTAAATGCAACCATGTTTAATTTATTTTCAACGATAAAATAAAACCAGTATTGCATAGTGTGTTGTATTAGCCGAAGGATTTCGTTTGTTTTGTTTTACGGCATATCAACGTCTATGGATTATTTAATACCGACAAAATTTTTATTGCTGGTAATTTGTTTTTTTTATCTATCTATCTATCTATCTATCTATCTATCTATCTATCTATCTATATATTGGTTTGGTTCGTTTTTTTTTTGTTTTTTTAAGGCATATCAACCTCAATCGATTATTTAATGCCGAGAAAATTTTTATTGCTGATAATATTTTTTATTTATCTATCTATCTACCTATCAATCTATCTCAGTATGCATTGGTTTGGTTTTTTTTACGGCATATCAACCTCAATGAGTTATTTTATGCCGACAACATTTTTATTGCTGGTAATATTTTTTAGCTATCTATATATCTCAGTATATATTGGTTTGGTTTGTTTTGTTTTACGGCATATCAACTTCAATGGGTTATTTAATGCCGACAATTGTTTTTATTGCTGGTAATATTTTGTTTTGTTAAAAATCTGTTTCTGGTAATATTTTTCCTTCAAAAAAGTATTGCTGGTAATATTTTTTTTCCAAAAGTTTTGCTGGTAATAGTTAACTATTTGCCCATATCTGGGACCCTAACATGTGCTACCAACCGGGTCGGGGTGGACCTGGGAACACCAGCAATGAAGAGGTGGTTCCACGCTCCTGATCAGAGGCTTTGCTGCTGGACGTAGTTTATCGTCTTACCCAAGACGCAGATGTAGTTTATCGTCATACCCAGGACGGTGGCCGAACGAACTGTATTGAGTGAAATAAGATGATATGGTGGTTCAATCATTTAGTAAATGTAAGTTAAATACGGATTCGATGAGCTCTATATCACAAATCTATGGTTAAATTATTTTGGATTGGTGTGTATTTTGTAATATTTTCACCCCAAACAAGGCGATAAAGCCACTGCGAAACAAGTTACTAAGTGAGGAAGACTCTGAAGGAAAACATTAAAGAGAGAGGACAATAGCAGAACAAGAACTAAGGAGACAGAAGATGATGACTGATATTGCATTTAAATTTAGATAAGCTCCTTAATAAAATCCAAAGTAGAATCAGCAATATTATTGGCCTCGATCTGGCATCTCTCCTTCAGTCACTTTCCCATCGCCGTAAGGTTACCTCCCTTGGTTATTTCTATAAATACTTTCATGGCAATTGTTCGAATTGTTGTTTTATTCACACACACACCCCAGACAATGAATTATACATATAGGGATTAGTTACGACTTTCATAGAGACAATGGTGGATGTAGTAAGAAAGGTAAGTAAGAATGCGTAGTTTTGGCGTTAGTCATATTGTTGCATGTTTGGTTCACTGTTTGTGGCTAGCTAAGTTTAACGTTAAGACAGAACAAGACCGTCCTTTTCCCCATTCCTCTTTATGGCCTTGTGCCACTTTTTCTGCATTTGAAGCAGAAATGAATATCACTCTTCACTATTAAATTGTTATTATATTCCCCTCCCCCCACAGACAATGAATTATACATATGAGGACTAGTTGGGACTTTAATAGAGACATTGTGGTATTATGGTGGATGTAGTCAGAAAGGTAAATAAGAATGCATAGTTGTGGTATAAGGAATATTGTTGTATGTTTGGGTCAGTGTTTGTGGCTAGCTAAGACAGATGAAGACCGTCCTTTTTCCCTGTTCCCCATTTTGGCTTTGTGCCACATTTTGTATTTTTTTACAAATAAATATCGCTCTTCGCTATGGTACCTAGTTTGTTTTTGTTTCTTTTTTTGTTTTTTGTTTTTTATTTAAGCGCAGTACCAGCTTGGCTTTACGGTCTCATCATTTTACACCCATTTATAGTTGAGCTGACTTGATGTAATCGTAAGTTCTATGCTAACAGTTTCTTTTCTCGCACCTCTCGTTTGTGGAACTCCCTCCCGGATTCATGCTTTCCAGCCAACTTTAATCTGCAAAAATTTTGAGCCTATTCTGCCCTACGAGAAATTGAAGTCAGGTCTACCTTGTTATTTAACGATAGCTGCAGAAAGATGGGGTCACACCTTCTTTCAAGAGCATTTTTATGAAGTAAACGAAACTCAGACATTTGAAGGCAGTACGCCGATTCCACTTGCCACGTCGACAGCAATTGAACCACATCAAAGACTTTCACGACGATATGTCTGCGCGTGTTCTGTACAGGACTTTACTGTCGGAATTCTTTAACGTTAAGGTTGCACTAAAGCAGGGTGGCTTACTGATCACTGTCTTGTTCAAAGTTTTCATGGCAAATGTAACACGTAAAGACACTCAATCCACCCGAAGGATGGTATCTCTCTGCTATATCACGGTGACGACGGTCTATTCAATCCCTACAGTCTCCAGATGTTGTCCTTGACTATAGTCAACATTTATTTAAGCTTCAATATGCTGGTCATACCGTTCTCACCAGTCATTCACGTCCTGCACCTCAACAAAAGCTGGACGCCATGATTGATGCCTACAACATTGCTAGGTTCAAGATGAATACCAGAAAACGAGATCTTGTTGCAAACCCCATCTACATGTGGGAATGGTAGATCTCGGAAATGCGGGTATGTTCATTTATCTCTGACCGTGTTTTCGAACAGACATGATTCAACTGAAGAGATTCAGCGCCGTGTTGGACTTGTCTCAGCAGGACTTGGACGTCTTCTCAAGCGAGTATTCGTGGACAGGATCCCTACCAGTATGAGCTGTCAGTTATCTCCTGTTAATTCACCTCTCCAAGTTCTCCACTGCCTTAACCAGGCATTGAACTCACATCTCTTTGGATCCTGTCATTGGATCTAACTAATGCCTTTATCCTTAATAACACATGGCATAGTAGACAAAGACGTTAGTGTTAAAAAAAAATCACATATGTCAAAGACTCTGATAGTAACTTGCCTGAAACTTGTCCGGCGACGTAAATGGCTGTGCACAGACCGATTCCGACTGAGATGTTGTGGTTCGTGTTGCTTTTTAAAACTGTAGCTGCATCCCAACCAAATGCAAAAGCCTATCAAAAAATCAAAATCGAATATTTAAAAGATTTGTTTCAGGTTATTCATAAATTTAAACATTTTTTTAACACAGGCAGGAAAATAATTCAAAAATAAAATCCCAAGACACACATTTTCTTCCGTTTTATGGACAGTGGTCAAGCAAGCTATTACAGGTCTATCCACACAATCAAACAAGAAGGGTCTATTGTTTATCTGAGGCAATAACAAGACGAAATCAACTAGATTTTTTTTTAAATCGATTTTATTTCAATACTTTTTTTTTCCTTTTGTTTCTCAGTATTTCATTCTCTCAAATATTTCCTTCAGTTACTCAATCTTTGATATTTATTAAATTTAACTCGATTAGACACAAGGCCGAAAGCGTATAAGCACTCAGCGTGAAGTCAACTCGTGTAGGAAAAATGGTGTATAAAACCAGCATGCCTTCTGGCAAACAAACTTAGTCTGTCGTAAGGCAATTGTAATGGTCGACCTGCTAAGGATTTAATCCATTACACTAGTGAACTGGTCAGCAAAGCAATTTTGTTAATTATTTTACGGTAGGCGCACTTCTTTAATTTTATAGAATTTCACTCTTGTATTTCTTTTTTCCTTCGCTTTTGCACTTTTCTTTCCTTCATTGATCTTTTTTGCAAAAATAGTCTCTTTATTGGTACTACTATTACAACTGGGTTAAGTACCGTACGGGATACAGGCCTACGGCCACATCACGTTGACATACCGATTCCCGTACGAACACCGAAGTTAGGCAACGTCGAGCCTAGTCAGTACCTAGATGGGTGACCGCTTGGGAACACCAGATGTTGTAAACTTGGATGTAATGGATAATGGCTCGGAATTGCTAACCGGCGAGCCGAGTTCTAATTCCCGTAAAGTCCATTATATCGACATACGCGCAAATACTCTCGAGAAAGGTATGAAACCCCACTCTTCTCTCCCTATCTATGGGTTAAATAGTAAGACGTATCATTAAATTATTATTATCATCTCAGAAAATAAAAAATAAAAAATTATTATTTATATGTCGTTAAACAAAAACACGTATGGACGATCATGTCTCTTTCGATTCATGACTGACCAGGCAGAAGATTTTTCGCAGTAGGTTGCCATTTCCTTCTGCAGTAGACTGGTTGCCGACAAATGCCATAAGAAACAGTCTGTTCTGCTATTCACCCAATAGATAGGGACAGTAGAAACGTATTCATACTTTTCCCCTAAAGGTATTAGCGCGTAAATAATAGTAATGAACTCGACTGAAATTCGAACTCGACTCGCCTCACTATTATTACTAATAATATTATTAATAATGACACCTAACAATATCCGTGAAAATTTTCTATTTGAATTTTCTGATGAAGCTTAAGTTAATTATTGAATAATGTCCTTAAGAATTGCAACAAAATATCTATGAAATTTCTCCCGTTTCATCGTTAAATATTTGAGCTTAACAACTTTAAGAAAATATTGCATTGTTATATGGTTTATCAACCTACCCTTTTAAGGTTATCTATATACAGAAAATTGTTCAAATTGTAAGAATTTGGGGGAAAAATAATAATTTTTAATTTTTTAGATTGTAATTTTTAGATTTGGGGAAATAATAATAATTTTTTTAAATTGTAAGAATTTAGATTAATAATTTTAAATTTAAAAGAATTTGGGGGGAAATAATAATAATTCTTTAAATTGTAAGAATTTGGGGGAAATAATAATAATTTTTTAAATTTAAATTAATAATTTTTTAGATTGTAAGAATTTGGGGGAAATAAAATAATAATTCTTTTAAATTGTAAGAATTTGGGGGAAATAATTTTAATTTTTAAATAATAAGAATTTTTAGATTGTAAGAATTTGGGGGAAATAATAATAATTTTTTAGATTGTAAGAATTTGGGGAAATAATAATAATTTTTTTTAAGAATAATAAATTTTTTAATTCTTTTAAATTGTAAGAATTTGGGGGGAAATAATAATAATTTTTTAGATTGTAAGAATTTGGGGGGAAATAATAATAATTCTTTAAATTGTAAGAATTTGGGGGGAAATAATAATAATTTTTTAAATTGTAAGAATTTGGGGGGAAATAATAATAATTCTTTAGATTGTAAGAATTTGGGGGAAATAATAATTTTTTAAATTGTAAGAATTTGGGGGAAAAATAATTTTTTAAATAAGAATTCTTTAATAATTCTTTAAATTGTAAGAATTTGGGGAAATAATAATAATTTTTTTAAATTGTAAGAATTTGGAAATAATAATAATTTTTTAAATTGTAAGAATTTGGGGAAATAATAATAATTTTAAATTTAAAATTTGGGGGAAATAATAATAATTTAAGGGAAATAATAATTTTTAAATTGTAAGAATTTGGGGGAAAAATAATTTTTAAATTGTAAGAATTTTAGGGAAAAGAATTTTAAGAATTTTGGGGAAATAATAATTTTTTAAAGAAGAAATTTTAGTGCGAAAATATTTTTTTAGATTGTAAAAATTTGGGTGGAGATAATAATTTTTTTGAATTGTAAGAATTTTGGGGATATAATAATAATTGTTTTTAGATTGTAAGAATTTTAGGGAAGATAATAATAATTCAGTTACAACACCTAAGGGTAACTTTTGTTTTGATATGTCCATTTGAAATTTCTAAAGGTAAATAAGAATTTATGTAATATATTTATAATTTTAACTTGTTAATATCAAAAATAATTTAATCGATCAAAACTGTCATTATTTTGCGCAGTTTTCGGTGACTTACTAATTAACCCATAGCTGGGAGGAGAAAGAGTAGATTCATTCTTTTCCCAATGCTATATGCGAGTAAGTGAATATAACAAAACCAACTGGAATTAGAACTCGGCTCTCCGATTAACAATTCACAGTCTTTATACATTTCATCAGTCGCGCTTCCAAATTTACAGCACCTCGTATTCTCAAGCGATCACCCCCATCTAGGTACTGACCAGGTTTGACGTTGCCTAACTTCGGTGAACGTACGTGAACCGGTGTTTCAACGTGATATGACCGTAGGCACGAAATATTGCAACAGCAGTCATAAGTATGTATGTAGGGCATTATTTAAAGACGTAAGAGGGTACAAATGAAAAGATCGGAAATTAAGTCAAAACAGACGTGAAACACATGTTATCGTATTATCATCTCATCCAGATTTCTTTTCTTTATTTCTTTTGACTTCCTTTCCTTAAAACCAAACAAGGCTGTTGATATATATTTTCTTTCGTTTTGTGGACAGCAGACAGATCTATCCACGCAATCAAACAAGAATGGTCCATTATTTATCTGCGGTAATGGCAGGGCGTAACCTACTTGCTAAGGAATAATTTTTTTGATTGGAAAAGCTTCCGATAAAGGGGTCCCTGCATCCAGTGCATTGAAGAAATACAAAAGGTTGTTCTCATCAGTGCAGATCACACCATACGAAGGGCTTTTTATGTAAAATGTGTGTGGTTTTCGGTTGTTGTCTCTTTTTAGACAAATGATCAGTGGAAAATGTCATGATACCATTTCTGACCTTAGATCACTGGTTGGGACCCGGAATGAAAAAAGTATACAAAAGAAATCAAATGATACGATAATTAAAAAAATAATTATTGTTATTACTAGCAGTAGAGCCCGGCGTTGCCCGGGGATGTAACAGTAAGAGATAGATCAAGTATCGACCATCATAAAGACTGAAAAAATAAAATTGACAAAGATTATTGTTTAAGGTTGACGGACACGCATGTCTTTTTTTTTATGAATTGGTCAAACCCAAACTCAAACAAAACATTGTTTTCAATCGTTATGAGTCTACCGATTGAATAGAATTTTATTATAAACAATTGTCTTGTAAATGAAATTTTTAAAGCATTCTGAATGTAAAAAATAAAGAAAAAGTGTGCAAGACAATAAGAAACACTACATGCCAAAAAAAAAAAAGTGAAGTTTTGTTGAAATCGGTTGAAAAATGTAGGAAATCCGATCCCATATATAAACGAACACAGACACACACACAAACAACCTAGGTTTTATAATAAGTATAACTCGATATGAGTTGTCCCCTTTCATTCTCGCGATGCCTCTTAATCGTGTCTTCAAATTGATTTCGTGCAAAAGCAATTGTGTTTTTCCAATTTTTGGCGCTGTCAGAACCACCGCAAGGTAATTTTACGTAGCCCTGTGAAGTTTTGTTGAAATCAGTTAAAAAATGTAGGAAATCCGATCCAATATATAAACGTACACACACACACATACACACAACCTGGGTTTTATAATAAGTATGATTATAAATAACCTCATACTACGCCAAGCATGACTTTAATAGCTTCTGACCGTAGCTGATTATCAGCGTTAATGCGTATATGGTTTGTTTTGGTGAATTAAGATCGGCTACAGTAAAGAATCCGTTCAGTACCAAAGATTTACTGATCAGTTGCCTTATCTAAACCACTTGGTTATGTCCCCTAGGGGCCGATACATTGTGTATATTTCTTTTAATGAGCAGAAGTAATTGCATAGCCTCACAGCTACACCCTTGTGTAAATTAATTGAAACAAAACGAATAATTACGTTATTATTTACTTTTTTTTCGTATTTTCCCAATGACACGTGACCCTGTGCATATGTTAGTACTTCGTATGTCAATTCTACGAAATCATTGTTTGCAGATTGACGATAGATTCTCGATTGCATTTAAATCAGGAGAGTTTCCGAGCCAGTCTAAAATCTTCTGCAGCATTTCAAGCTTTCTGGTGACTACAACATTCCCTTCAAGAATATTATTATTAACCTAGATCGCTTCTAGTTACCACAATTCAGTGGCCTCGAGCCAGACTAAGTTTCATAAATAGCCTACTAAAATGCTTGCCCCAGATAATCGGATTAGCAAGCTGATGATCTTGAGCCGATTTGAGCACTGGTAAGGCTTACCAGTGTCTTCGTGCAACGTTACAATTTTCGTACACCTCCTTGGACAATAGCAGACAATAGCCGTAGGGCAACTAATCAACAGTCGAGACAGTAGTGTCTGGGCATGATAAAAATGTGATGCAATCACAAATGATGCAATATTTTTCAAGTCCGAATAAATTTCGTCATACACCCCGAAAATAGAATCATATTACTGCACACCGCTGCAAATGATGTAATCTGAGGAGAAAATAAAAATCGATTACACCCTATCACTCCAGTGGATCTAAAACTGACCGTATGGTGAAAGAAAGGAAACTAAAGCGGTTGCTTCAATTAATTTACACAAGGGTGTAGGTAATAAAATGTATTTTTATTACATCATTTTGAGGGATGAGGTAGCCGAGACGACTTAGGAGACACATCTAAATACTTGGAAATATCCTCAATCGGAGACCGACCCAACGGATTGGGTCACCCGACCTGAAAGTATTTCTAACTGCGTCCCACCTACTAGTATCTGTTTTGTTTTTTTATTATTAAAACCTTTCGCTATATTGTGCACATTTGGCTATGGTGCGTGTACCAGGTATACACTTAACAAAGTAGGTAGCATGATGGGTGCATTGGCTATCATATATTTGCAAACCAGGGTCGTTTTGTTGTCGTACAAATTCTCTCACCCTCTCCTTCTCACACTTTCTATCTTTCTCGTATATATATATATATATATATATATATATATATATATATATATATATATATATATCTCTTCTCTCTCACACACACATACTCTCTCTCTCTCTTTCTCTCTCTCTCTCTCCCCCGATAATAATGATACAATAATGATGTCTTTGCATATTTAAGCTGAATGTCTAATCACTGTCATTGAGGATCGATTGGCA